GGGGGGGAAAAGGAGGGGGAAGGCAGCGGCATAGCAGCACGTGATTTAGAGTTCTTTGTAACTAGAAACACACACTCTTGAACCTTTCACAACGGTCGCTGGGATGTGTTTTATGTTTCCATTCATCGCCAAATTTAATGACCTTTTGTTCACCAAGTGGAGCGCAAATGGATGTGGATAATTCCCCCCTAGCCATGTCATATGGGTCTGGCGCAATACCCGAAAAGGATGTGCTGACCTCCAAAGGTCCTTTTACTAGGCTTTAGGTCTTTCCAAGATCTCCAATGTTTCTTCCGGAATTTGCACCCAGTTTTCTAGTTTTCTATTTGTCTTTTAAAGCTCGTGTACTCGTTAGGGTGCCCTAGTTTGAGTCCTACCGTTTTATAGCGCAATACCCAAGATGACTGTGATATCCTCCTCCCCCTCCTCTCCTCCTCCTTTGTCTCCTCCTCCTTTGTCCCCTCCTTGGACGGCATATCCCGTCTGACTGTGGTCTCTCCCTCCTCTTGTTGTTGTTGTGGTTGTTTTCGTTGTTGTTGTGTCGTTGTTGTTGTTGTCGTTGTCGCCGTTGTTGTGCTGGTTGTTATTGAATCCATAAAGTAGCGAGATCAGGTCACTTCATGGGTTCATTTTCACAAGTAAGCTTTCAAATGGTTGGATATTGCTATGATGTTGGCAGGTTAGCTCACTGAAATAAATAAATTAATAATTTGACAAATTGAAATTTGAAAGTTGTGAAATTTTTCTTCTAATTGAAGTACTTTTTACACACAAATTGATCGTCGTTAATTTTTCCTCCAAATTGAAGACAGTACTATTGGTGCATCTTTGATTGTTATTAACTTAGTATTTGATGTGAACTTGCATCATTTTTTTTTTTTTTTTTAACAATCCAAAGTACTAGCATTTTCAGGTCATCATTTTTGTTCTTCTTCTTTTGTTTTTACATTCCAAAGTACTAGCTTGTTTTTTTTGCTTTTTTGTTTTCTTTCTATACTCATACTAAAGTGTAAGCCATGTCTCGTGGACCCCTGCGAGGCCCGACTTACAGTCTTAGGAAAACGTCGGGACACGGGGGAGGCGGGCCCAGCAGAAACCGCTCCCTCCGTGGCTGACTTCTGCTCATGTTCGAATACAAGGACATAGCAGGCCAAGCGTGGTGTTGTTTCACGTTGAAAGTGATCAAGGGCCTTGCCACACCACTGTCGAAACGAAAACAGAAGGAATGCATCTGCCGCGGAAAGTGGTAAGATGCATCCATTGCTATTCATAGTRACGGATGSATCTTGCCCTCCTCCGCGGGAAGATGCATTCGTTCGTTTTTATTTCGACGGTGGTGTGGTGTCAAAACGAAAACAGAAGGAATGCATCTGCCACGGAAAGTGGTAAGATGCATCCATTGCTATTCATAGTAATGGATGCAGCTTGCCCTCCTCCGTGGGAAGATGCATTCGTTCGTTTTTATTTCGACGGTGGTGTGGCGAGGCCCCAAGCCTTGCCCCGCTACTCTCCACAAAACATATGGTGGCGTATCTTTCCATATCGAGCGGAAGATTTTTTCACTGAGCAGAAGTCCAAATTGTTTCACGACGTCGTTTCTTCTTTTTTTTTGTTGTTTTCTTGGCCAGTAGTGGGACAAGGGCCACATGCACAAAAGACAAATAGGAAAAATTGGCACTGCATCTTTCCATTTCTAGAGGAGGATTCATTCTCACGTAAAGGGCCTGGCTCTGCGGTAGATTCTTTTGTTTTTCTTTAGTAGATTCGTTATTTTGGTTTCAGCAGAGTCGTTGCTTTTTCTTGTCGTCTTGGGGTGATGGGATCTCACAGCCAGCAGGCGCATTTACCGTTGTTCGCTTAGTAGGTTTTTTTGGGGGAGGGGGGGCAGTGTATGAGAATGAATCTTCTGCTAAAACAAGGGAAGATACTGCCATATTGCCCTCATCCTTGTGCAGGGGGCATGGGGCCTCGCTCAACTACTGGCGTTGGCGATGGGATCTCACAGCCATTGGGCCCATTTACGGTTGTTCTCTTCATAGTTTTTTTTTTTTTTGTGTGTGTGTTGGGGGGGGGTGTATGAAAATGAATCTTCCACTAGAACAAGGGAAGATACGCCGGCATATTGCCCTCATCCTTGCGCACGGCCGCACGGGGCCTCACTCAACTACTGGCTCTGCATCCTTCCGATGTAGGGAGTGTACTGTTGCCCGCATACCCCACTGTTTAGCGCGCATACTGCCGCCTGCTGTAGGTGGTGCCCGACCCGCATGGTACCATGCCCTCCGCATACTGCCGCCTGCTGTGTGTGGTGCCACTCGCGATATGTTTTCTTCCCCCCTCGTGGTCCTCGCTGCGTGGTCCCCGCCGCGTCTGCGGTGGGCAGTCACTTGTTTAAATAACGCCCAGGGTGTTGTAGAGGTCGGATTCAGACCATGGAAGGTCCCGGAGATTTCAGCCATCTGGTTATCCTAATGGCTCCTAATGGATTGCCTCATCCAGGCTCTGTGTCCTATCACCACGTTTGGGGGAGCGTAGACCCCAGCCATTGCACTCCTAAGGCTTAACCCACAGCGACTGGTTACCAAGCACCATGGTCCACCTGTCCGTTTACCGGCCCCTGAGCTTGCTTAGAGTCCCTTACAGGGGTATTAAGACTTAGCTACCCCCTCGGGCCAGATGGATCATCCCTCGGAACACTCCCCTACTTGAAGCCCAACCCTCGGGAATTGTAAGATCCGGGCCCAACCCTCCGGAATTGTACGATCCGGGCCCAACCCCTGGGAATTGTAAGATCTGGGACCCCCCGCCCCCCCTAGAGCACAGCCCTCAGGTATCGAAAGTTGATCCTTCGCTTCCCAACTACAACACCCTGTACACATACCCACTCAAGTACAGGAATCTGGCTGCATGACTCTACCGAGCCCCTCGTACAACGGACTGGCTTACCTATACCCTTGCCAGCGGGAAACCACGGTGGTACCCAGACCCTTCAGAGCACATGCAAGGACCCATCCTACGCTTGAGGAGGAAATACAGCCTGCACTCTAGAGCCCTGTATGGACACACATGATTGCCCGCCTGTATGTACGGGGCTAGTCATTTCTAAACCTGCTACAGTGGTTACCTGGCACCCCACAACGAGCAGGACATATCTACAGTAGTCCACCAAACAGCCCCTAAGATCCCATTGTAAGTGTACCCCTGAACTGAAGGCGATCATTAGAACAACCCCAGTGCCAGAACCCCCCAAGCATTCCTCCCACCAGTCCATCTCCAGCATACAACATCCATGGGCGCGACCCTTTGAGTGCAACGGGCTGTGTCTGTAATCCCTACCATGTTCCGACCCCAAGGGGGTGTGCGAATGGCCCTAACTTGTGCCAACCTGCGCAGCTCCGTGCAAAAAATGCACCAAAGTGCAGGTCAAGAGATTTGAACCTGCACCCTAAACCACAAAGGTGCAATAGCCACCGGTGTTCGACCAACTGAGCTAACCAATCCTTTTTTTCTTTTCTTTTATGTGAGCTTACATCATATTTAGCTTTTGGAAATGTGCCTGTGGATGGTTTCATCTCTGGAGACGGGTGTCGGGCGTTGAGTTGAGTATCTTCCACTGCAACCGAGCTGGGGCGGACTGAATGCTACGACCGGCTATGGCTCCCGATCTGAACACTGTGTTGCAGTCGCAGCGGTTAAGACATGCGGCTGTTATGGGTGAAATCACAGGTTCGAGTCCGTGTGGCCATGGATTTGGTTCCTGCCACTTCCTGGTAAATAAACTGAACATATGTTCAGCTTGCTCGGATCAATCTATTCGTAAATTTGTACATTTACCCTTGAATCGAAGTTATTTACGATACTATTATTAGCAACTTAATTTACTTAAATAATAAGTAAAGAAAAAAAATGTTACGATACTATTAATAACTTAATAATAATAAGTAAAAAATCATTTAAAAATGTGTACAAAATTACTACAAATTTCATTGTTATCCTGTTGATGGGGCAGGGACTGAGAGGTGCTTCGAGGCATTACAGCAGCTGGCCTCACAGGGAGAGTCCTTTGACATTGTGGTCAACATTCAGGTCAGTTTCATTGCTTTATTTTCCCTCTTTGTCTTTTGTCTTGACATGAGACTGATATTCACAGTTCAACACTCCAAAGCTTACCAGTATCTCATTTCCGCCTTTGCTTCTACGGGACTCGGCACGCGACTCACGGAAGCTGCGGAACCCAAAAAAAAAGAAAAGAAAAGAAGAAGAAGAAAAAAAAAGCGTGCATCCTGCAACTGAAACTGAAGAAAATCATCCATTGTTATTATAGTAACAAATGCATCTTGCCACCTCTTTTTTTTTATCTTCTTCTTCTTTTCTGTTTTTTTTTTTTTTTTTTTTTTTTTTTTTTTTTTTTTTTTTTTTTTTTTTTTTTTTTCCGTGTCGTGTGCTGTGTGGCGAGCGAGGCCCAGTCTCTATCCGTACTTTTGCTGTTGATCTTAATTGGTGGATTTGCGGTCCATCTGCATCTCTGTTTTTCCTGTTGGTCTTGCACAATCTATACTACATTACTTCCAACTCCTTTTCTTTATTATTATCTTCTAATAAAGCGCAACAGCCTTGACATATCATCCTTCACAACTGACCGGCCCCAAGTAAATCATAATTGTTTTGGATCTGTTCATGTGCTTGCAACGGTGTTCGAACTTGGGTCTGTATTTCAACAGTTCGCGGGTGCACTTTCAATTCCAATCGATGGTTTCGGTGTCCATGTCGATCCGTCCGTTTTTAACAACCTCGTCCGGCTGCAGGTGAACTGTTAGAAGGGAGTGTAACTAGACATCAGCAACTTCAGCTGTGTTGACGCATAGGCCGATTGCAACACCGCTGATGGAAAACATAGAAATGTTAAACAACAACAACAACAACAACAACAACAACAACAACAACAACAACAACACAACAACGATGACGACAAGGACGACGGCAACAACAACAACCGTCATTCCGTCTTCTCATCTCATCAAACTTCAGAAAATATAAAGGATAGGCATATGCCTTTATAATAGTTTATATATCTATCAGATCCATTCAACGCTATGAGTGTAGGGCATAGTACAGAGTGTGCCGTTCCCACTCCTAGGTGTCGACTGCCACTGTCTTTGACGGCATCTGGTCTGACAGAGCATGCAAATAAATATCGTCAGAACTCGAGCCTTGTGAAGAACAACCAAATCATCGGCGTGTGCACAATCAGCACAATGTTAGAAGTGCTGAGCAAGGCGCATGCAAATATGATCAGAACTGTGAACAATGAGTAGAATGCTCAAAGTGCTTCTCCCTCTCCTACTCCAGGACTCGCCTGTTATCACCTCAATGTGTCGTCCATTTACTGTCGTGCTGCTCCCCACTCCTTCACCCCCCCAAACCAGACACAATATCACTTCCCAAGCCAATCTATCTATCTCTAGTGCTGACCTATTTGCGAGGCTCAAGGCCTCGATATGCCGTACTGGGCCCTATTTTCTGTACAGTCGGCCGCCCTAAGTGAAGGCAGGCCCGACTAAGGCCTACAGGCGCATTTTGGGGTCAACACGCAACTGGGGAAATTCAGGCAGTTGCGCAGCGCCAGTTGGTTGAGAGCACCCAGGCCCAGGCTGCCTCTTTCGTATGTAACTGAGGCAGGCCCTGGGCCAGATTCGCAAGATGGACCGAACATAGGCCACGGGCAGTTGGACACGGGCAACCACCACAGGCCCAGGGCCTGATTCGTTTGGACTGGGGCTCAGCCTCTCTGGGTCTACTGGAAGCTTCTGGGCAGGGGCCCAGCGCAGCCAGGCTGCACGCAAGGCAGGCAGACCACTTCCATTTAGGAAAGTGCCTGCCCACGCATTCGGCATTCGGGCACTGGCTGCATGCTGCGCAAGCGCTGCTGCGCTAACGCTGGCCAGCGCTCACGCGCTCACGGGCGAGCTGGAAGGAGCAGGCAGCCGTAGCCGAGCTGTGCTGTTGCATGCTGGATGGGGCGCATGGTGGTTCTTGGGTGCACGTGGCATCTGTGAGTTGGGGAACGAGGTTGTGAGTGATACGAGAGACATACCTGGTGCTTGAGGCTAACGGCATTGGCTGAGATCTGCTCGTACTTCGGGGAGCTGTTGACGTCACCAGTGGCATTGTAGATAGGCTAGATAGGACCTGCCATTTGTATTCTGGGCGCAGAGCGCCAGATAGGATGTCGACGTTGGTTCTTTGTTGATGATGATGAGACTATTCGAACATTGTCACTTACGAGCTTTTGCTGTGCTCTTATTTGGTGGGACTCGTGATGCAGTTCTGCTTTTGGTCCGAGGTCACGACTATCTGGTCTAATGTGTATGATGCTGCTTGGTTTCTGAAGTTCGCTATTACTCATTTTCCTTGCATATTAAAGGCTAGCGCAATAATGCTGGGACTTGAACTGAGTCAACTGACAACCCCTGTCTGCACCAGCTTGGTCTGACATCTTGGCAGCTCTTTCTAATAAAGGAGAATGTAGATAAAACACATGTCCCGGGAAAGCTTCTCGACCTGGTGGTCGACGTAACAATACTGACAATTGTCGATATGCCACTGATTGTTTACTTGGATCATAGAATCTCCTTCTTCAATCATGACCACACCATGAAGCTATGGTGACCTTCCCTCTTATCCATCGTTTGAACCCTTGACCTCGCCAACAGCGACTGGCGCCGCAGTCTCTCTTTCTCTATGGCACGCGCACTAACAGAATGCAGTCTGAAAAATGAACGCCAGTCTCTCTCCTACTTTCGAGTCCTTTCTTCGGGGAGCTATGGCTGGCAGCCAACAGGTAAGTTTCCTTTTCCTTCTTGGCAACCCTTCTTCAATGGCTGTCACCTCCTCCCAATCTCCACCACAGACCCTCCTCTATACATGGTGCCAGACTTCTACCATTTAGCACCACCACCTGTATAGATCTTCGGTGAAGAATTGCGTGCACATGCAACCACTGAGCTCTTTCTCTTCCACAGCTATGGCTGAGTGATGTCCAAGTGAGCACTCTCCAGGTGAGCTTCCTCTTCCCTCAAGCCTTGCTCTCTCTCTCTCTCTCTCTCTCTCTCTCTCTCTCTCTCTCTCTCTCTCTCTCTCTCTCTCTCTCTCTCTCTCTCTCTCTCTCTCCACAGTGCTATCCCTCTCTTCTATTTTTTTTTTAATCTCTCAATATTTTGCTGTTATCAACGGTTTGAGTCTTGCGAGGTCATGTCTGACAAGATTGTGATCTCCTCTTTTTTTTTGTTGTTTCTTACTTTCCGAAGAATTATTTTACTTCATTCTTCTACTTCCTTCTGGATTCGAACTCATGTGAGTCACGTCTGTATTTCGAAAGTTCACGTGAGTCACGTCTGTGTACCAACTGAACTAGGCCTGTCGGTGTCGGTAAGATTGTGAGCTTTTAAAGTTAGGTTCATAACCGGGGGAATGTTTCTGTGAACACTCACAGTTTCTTCATCATTTTTAGAGTGTTCACATTATGTCCTCCACGAGAGTAAAACCTCGCGTTTTGTGCTAAATTGCTAATCTATGAATCGTGGGCGCATTTTTCAATATTGAATATTCTGCACACTCAGAAAAAGAACTGGAGATGTCCTTCGGGCGGGACATCCGTTAAAATTGGAACGATACCGAAAAGGGTAAATTTACTAAATTAGCATGTTCCCTGCACAAGGATGACATGCATAAATTAAGAAATGGTCCAAATTAATGAAGAAGAAGAAGAAGGAGAAGAAGAAGCAGAAGCAGAAGAAGAAGAAGAAGAAGAAGAAGAAGAAGAAGAAGAAGAAGAAGAGGGGAAAGACCTAAACATACTCAAGTTGGTACACCAACTGGCACAGCTCAGTTGGTACACCTCTGAACTGGTGAAATACAGACCAGGTGCGGAGTTCAAACTCCACTGGAAGCAGATGAGTAACACACTACAATTCTCAATTACCTAGGGCCGGTCGGTTCGATAATGGTATCTCAAGGCTGTTGCCCCTTTTAAGAAAAAGCAAAGGGGAAAATAAGTATGGGGAAGGAAGAGCTAGTATGGGGAAGGCAAACAAAGGACTGACAAAGGGATAAGTATGACGAACAAAAAATAGATAGAGAGCATAGATGGGAAAGAGCTATCAGTGCTGTCTAAGAGTCTAAGCTGTGGGAACAGAAGGACTGCACGGTGGGTTGTTGCGTCCGTCTGAAGTTCTGAACCAATGCAAGGTACAGTAGCTATGAGATGTGTAGTCCTGATGCATTGGAGTGTGGAGTGAGAGAGATTGCCTTGTTCCTATCCTTCATCATCCTCTTGATGATTTATTTTTCTTCTTGTTCTTTCTATTGATGTGAACAGGGTGATGAGCCGTTTATTGAATCTTCGCATATCGACTCCGTCGTTGCCACCGTTGCGAACCACAGTGCTGATATGGGGTATGTATCCACTTACTCTCACGGTCCAAACTTTTGACTGCTACAGATGCAACCACGAGTGAGGAAGAGAAGGAATTGAAGGAGGAGGAGGAGGAGGAGGAGGAGGAGGAGGAGGAGTAAGAGGAGGAGGAGGAGGATGAAGAAGAAGAAAAGGAGGAGCAGGAGGAGGAG